CCCAAAGTGCTGGGATTACAGGCTTGAGCCACCGTGCCCGGCCAGGTCAGGAATTCTTGAGCCAAAAACAATGAGTCCAATTGTCTGACCAGGTAGAGGGAGGGAATGAGTGGAAGAAAAGGGTTGAAGGGGTTGGAATACATCTGTTTATGGATCTTTTGGGACTTGGTACTTTTGGTATAAACAGAGTATCCCTTGTATATTTAGAAATGGTGAATTATACCGTACAAAAAACAAACATCCAAAAAAAAAACTTAAAACCTCCCACAAAGAAACCCCTCAGATTATCCCTAGTTCTCTTGGCAGGCATGATTGCCAGGATATTGCGGCCTTGCCAAGTGTGCGACCTGGTGTTCATTCACTGAGATTATGCTACCAAGGATGGCTGACAAGGTTGCTGCTGTGACACCTCTGGTTCCTCAGGCAGAGGCAGGCCCTCTGTCTCTGTGAGATGGCAGAGATGACTGAGCTGTGTCCACCCTGGCCTGCTGACTTCTCCCTCCCTATGCTTCAGCAGCTCGCTGTGATTCCAGGTTCCACTATGTGCCTGGCCTTCAGCAGGAGCCAGTCCCTTTGCAATGTTCCCAACTGGAGTGTCAGCAAAGAATTCAGGCCTAGATTTCCTCAGATGTAGACAAGAATTGTAGTTCCAAACCTTTGATAAATTAAAGAACAGCAAAAAGGAAATAACCAAAAAATTTTTTAAAAAGGGAAAAGTTAATTGAAGTGCTGGTTTCTGACCATGTTGTTGCTCGTTAGGACTCCAGCTCCTATAACAGTGGCTGGTACTGGTTCTGACCTCGCCTATCTCCATTGGGTAGGGGTTATTTTACTTTCCCTCATGGGGGCCCCTTCACCTCCATTACAACCAAAGCTGAAAGCAAACCAGCCTGCAGATTTCAGGTGCTCTCCCTCTCTGATTTGGTCACCAGCTTCTGAGGAATTGGTCATTTGGTAGCTTGTGGGCATTGATGCACAGATGTACCTCCCTTTATCCCAGTACTTCCTGGTCTTGTCAGGGTCCAACAGACCACACAGGGAGTGACCATGAACCCAAATCACAAGGCAAATTCCTGGATCAGCTGTCCTCAGTGGGTGTTAGAATCACCTGGGGAGCTTTGAACAATACTAATGCCCAAAACCCACTTCAGACCAACTTAATTGAAATCTCTGCAGGTGGGGCCTGGCATTGTTTTGTTTTTTGAGACGGAGTCTCAATCTGTTGCCCAGGCTGGAGTGCAGTGGTGTGATCTCAGCTCACTGCAGTCTCTCTCTCCTGGGTTCAAGTGATTCTCCTGCTTCCGCCTCCTGAGTAGCTGGGACTACACCTGTGTGCCATCATGCCCGGCTAATTTTGTACTTTTAGTACAGACGGGGTTTCACCATATTCATCAGGCTGGTCTCCAACTCCTGACCTGGTGATCCACCTGGCTCGTTCTCCCAAAGTGCTAGGATTACAGGTGTGAAGCACCATGCCCGGCCACATTGGTATATTTATGAAAGTTCTTCAGGGGAATTTTTTTTTTTCAGTTGTTCAGGCTGCAGTGCAGTAGGGTGATCTCAGCTCACTGCCATTTCTGCCTCCCAGGTTCAAGCAATTGTCATGCCCCATCTTCCTGAGGAGCAGGGATTACAGGTGTGCACCACCACACCAAACTAATTTTTATATTTTTTGTAGAAATGGGGTTTCATCATGTTTCCTGGGCTGGTCTCAAACTCCTGGCCTCAAGTGACTTACCTGCCTTGGCCTCCCGAAGTGCTAGGATTACAGGCATGAGTCAACACATCAGCATCTTCAGGGAATTCTGATGTACATTTAGGATTAAGAATCTCTGCAGTCGGATGTGAGTTTCTTAAGGATGGGGAATTTGGAAGCTTCCCAACCCCAATCCCATAGTGATCTCCATTTATGCTCAAATATAATTGTTCTGGCTGGGCATGGTGGCTCTCTTCTGTAATCCCAGCACTTTGGGATGCCAAGGTAGGAGGATTGATTGAGCCCAGGAGTTCAAGACCAGCCTGGGTAACATAGCAACACCCTGTCTCTAAAAAATAAATAAATAAAAAAGAGGCTAGGTATGGTGACTCATGCCTGTAATCCTAGCACTTTGGGAGGCCGAGACAAGTGGATCACTTGAGGTAAGCAGTTCGAAACAAGCCTGACCAACATGGTAAAACCCTATCTCTACAAAAAAAAAAAAAAATAGCTGGGCATGGTGGCCGGCTACTTGGGAGGCTGAAGCAGGACAATTGCTTAAACCTGGGAGGTGGAGGTTGTAGTGAGCCAGGATCATGTCATTGCACTCCCGGTTGGGTGATTTAGATTAAGTCCACTAAAAACTTAGAAAAGAGAGCATTGCCTCTAGAGAATTCAGATCTTGTTTTAAATGTAGAATTTCTATAATAAATTTGCAAGAGGAGGCTAGCTTCTTTGGAGTGTAGTTTAAACTACTCCTTCTGTTTCCTACTCCTTTGTTCCAGCAATTCTTTGTAAATTTAGATGAGGAACAAAAGCTTCCTCAAATATTTCTCCAAAAGAACTACATTAAGTGAATAGGTTCTACAGGTAGGACTGCCAATGTCAGGTTTTAAAGTTGGTTAGAAAGGTGCATATATGAAATGCTTACACAGTGTGAGGGAGCAGGAAGAGGAAGGGGATGGGATAAAGACAGACTAGAGGCACATTTGTCTTCATTGATACAGACCCAGAGAAGAGGAGCCTGAAAGTGGAAACTCATGTCCCTCCTTCATAGTATAACCATAGCATTTTCCTCTACCAGCCCTGCTGTAGTGTGATTGTTTGTATCCCCTCAAAATTTGTATCTTGAAGTCCTAACCTCTAAGGAAATGGGGACTTTTGGGAGGTGAGGTTGTGAGGGTGGACCCCTCATAAATGAGATTAGTGCCCTATAAATAGGCTCAAGGGAACCTGTTTGCCCCTTCCACTGACGAAGAGACAGTAAGAAGGCTCCATCTTTGAACCAGGAAGAGGGCCTTCACCAGATTCTGAATCTGCCGACATTTTGATCTTGGATTTCCCAGCTTCCAGAACTGTGAGAAATAAATTCCTGTTGTTTATAAGCTACCTGTTTTATGACATTTTGCTATAGGAGCCTGAATAGAGTAAGATAATACCTTAAAACTTGTTCTATTTTTAGAAGATTCAGTGAGATCCAAGTTTTTTTTTCCTCATTGTGATAATAGTGATTAGTTCATTAGGTAAATTAAGAAAATGAAAATAAAAACTAAAACAGAAAAGGAACTCCAGAAACGAAACAACAAAACAAAATTCATTTATCTTCTTCTTAGAATTTCAGTCAAATAAAGGTATATCCAAGTTGAACATCCCAGTCTAAAAATCCCAACTCTGAAATGCTCCAAAATCCAAAACCTTTGAGTGCCAATATGACACAATAAGTGAAAAATTCCACATCTGACTGCAGGTGGCAGGTTGCAGTCAAATGCGTTTGAAACTTTGTTTCATGCTCAAAATTATTTAAAATGTTGTATAAAGTTACCTTCAGGCTTATGTGTATAAGGGGTATATAAACCATAAATGAATTTCATGTTTAAACTTAGGTACTATCCCCTATCCTGAAGATATTTCATTGTGTTTATGTAAATATTCCAAAATACAAAAACAGAAACCCAAGTTTGAAACACCTTTGGTCAGACCTAAGCATTGAAGATAAGGGAGACTCAACCTGTATTACAACCAGCATTCCACCTTGGCAAGGCCGACAGCAAGCTTAAATTACATGTGCTAATATGTTCTCAGTCTCTCTGAAACTATAGTTGTCAATTTATAATTTTGATGTCACCTCTAAATAGTCATCAAAAATAAGAAAATATTGTGTTACGTTAAGATTATGCTCTAAGTCTCAGGAGAGGGCTACTTACTTAAGCAGCTAAAGGAAAGCAGCCCTAATTAATTGGCATCCCATTTCAGTTATTGTTAAAATATACACCATGACATTCAATGTTCAGTGTTTTTGCAGTTGTTTGAGAATAACTCTTTAATAAGATCTTAAATGCCCATTCCTAAAGTCATTTTTATTTTTCACACTAAATTGTGCTTTTTCTCTCTACTTTCAAATCTATTAACTCTATTCCTTAAATTATTCTTGTTTTAACTTTTTGTTTCTCAAGGAATTCTTTCAATTTTGAGGAATTGTGCTGGGGCAAGGGTTGCAGTTGAGGTATTTTGCTTTTGGAGCATGAATAATTTTGTGATGTTTTGGGGTTTGGATTACTTTGGGAAAATCTGTGTCATTAAACATCATAAAT